CTGAGATACACACATATCTATGTACATATGTGCGTCCGACCCAACAGGCCCTATAGCTGTAGTATTTTAAAACGTGTGCCACAGATCATAAAAATACTCTTTTTCAACATAAATTAGACTTTTTGGGTCAACGGGTAATTTCCGACCCCGGTCCTACAATATTTTTTTTAGTTTCGACCTTATCTCCTTATCTATCTAAAACACTAATAATATAATTTTGTCCAGCTAGCTTCTTCTAGTCGCCACACTGCTTAAGTTCCCAGAAGCGAATAGGACATATATTTCATTTCTGTAACTCACTCTCCAATATGCCACTACAGCAAGTATACTGGCATCGACAAAACCATGCTCAAATCCCTATACCAAGTGTACCAATCATTATTTGTAGCCCATACAATTGATTAGTTCTTATCAATTAAATCGAATTCACTACATTACTACTTAAATTGGCTCTCATAGGTGGCATAATGAATTTTAAGCTAGAAAACGGCCTTTCAACACTGACCTGCGCTGCAGGAACAGCTAAAACTATTTTAGCTAACTGAGCTAAGTGCGGTCTCCGCTAAGACTAATTTTTCCAATATTGTAGAACATCAATACTTCGTTCTTGCCGTCTTTGATTGGCAAGAGAGGACGGATAATTTCAGAACTTTTCGGTCCAATAACATAATCCGAATTACGATCCGCGTCTAACTGAGACAGCATTAACTCAAAATCATTTGTGCTGGAACATCTTTAATATCACAATATCTCATACGTTAAGGAAAGAAAATCAAAAATTATAGTTCACTGATGATATTAACACCAAAATATAATTAATCGATTATCGATTCACAGCAAACAACGTTATCACCAGATTCACTTAAATGTTTCCTTTTTGCTGTAAAATTGAAGATGTATGAAAATTAAAATATAATTGTTATTTTCGTCAAATATTTATTAAATAATTATGAAACTTTATCCACCCATTCATTTCTGTGCGCTTTACAACTTAACATGTGAAAATGAAAATCAAAATGACTTCTTCCAGATAACCGATGCCACATCGAAGATTTAATTTATTAGGCATCTTTTTAGTAGCTTTTTGCGAAAAAAGTTACTTTGCCATCTTACTACTTAACAAGAATTTTAGCAAAATATTGCTGATTTTGGTTAAATAAATCATTTATTCCAAAGACATTTTTATTTATTTTGGAGATAAATGTAGTTTGTTGAAAGTGAAGTAAAACAAGTAAAACGAAGTAAAATGAAGTGACGAAGTGAAGGCTTCTAAAGTGAAGTGAAAAACTTCAATTGAAGTGACAGCGGAAGCACTGCTACCGCCTTGTATAAAAAATTCGCCTTGAATTCCAGCACATTTATTAGTGTTGCCATAAGTCACGATATATAAGAATTAAAGGCTATCCACAATACTAGTCAACAAATTTGTCATGCAAGTCATTTTTTGTGAAACGGCACAGTTATGCTACTGAAGAAAAAAAAATTCTGTTGCAGATCCTGCAGCTGATTTTTATAAATTTCTAGAAACCGATTGAAACCTGTGCTTGAAACGGTTTCGGTTTCGTTTGTTGTCAGGTCAAGAAAACGGTTACGATTTCGGTTTTGAAAAACGAAACGGCTTTAACGGTTTCGGTTTCATTTCTTGATACAAAGTGCATAATTGGCAAAAAATTTATTAATTTTAAATATGTAATAAAAATATAAGATTAATATAATATTTATAATATTTGCCACACAAAATATTTTTAATAAAAAAATATTTATTAAAAAAAATCCCCTGACTGCAAAAATGGTTAAGCCTGCTTCAAACTTATATCAATTCTTCCTAACATTGGTAAAAATTTGTTGTAAAATTTTGAAGAAAAAAGTGGCTTTTTCGAGAAAATCAACTTTTTTCTTTTTAAAAAATTGGCCGCCATTTTGTTAATTTTAAAGGTTTTGCAATAATCGATTTTGAGTCAATTAGGTTCAGTAGTTACTGATTTATCGCAATTTTCGTGTTTCTGTAAATTGCCGTTATATGGGAGGTGTGCGTTGCTATTGCCCGATTTCAAATACTTTCAGCAGATTTCTTAGCTGGATCATAAGCAAGGCTCGTACCGAGTTTGGTAAGGATTGGTGAAGCGGCTACTAAGATACAGTATTTCATCATAAGTTTCATAATAATATTATTTTGTACCAAAATTCTACTCCAAATACTTCAACAATTTGGATCCAATATTTACTAAAATATCATAGTTTTTGCATTTTTCCAGAACACCGTTATATGAGGATATTTTCAATAGCAACCTACCTTGGATAAAGGGCAATCTATATATATATATAATTGTATGCATTTTCCTCTTGTATGTTCGTTGCGCTATAGTATACTACTTTACTTTACTTGTACTTTCTTTGATTTCTGTCGAGGCCGCTTCAAACGATTGGTACATTTGTACAGATTCGTACAGTTCTTATTGCCACCTTTTGGTACAAAATAAAACTAGGAAATAAACTTTAGTTTCTAGCAGATATAAGATTGACACGATTTTGGGAAAATGTCTAATCGTACGACATGGCTTTGACAATTCTATCGAAATTTATGAACGCTTTAAAGATTCGATTTCTATATATTTAATAGTTATTTATATTTTTTATGTTTCATAACAAAATATGTTTAATTTTTTTTTTTTATATACAACTTCTATTACATATGTAGTCAATTATGAATTGTGACTAGCACTATAAAATAATTTTGTACAATTGTTGTGCTAGCATGAAGTTTCCAAATAAACAAAGAAACAAACAAACAAAGAATTTAAGGCTAATAATCTTAAAAATAATAATATAAATAAATAATAATAATAAATAAATTTAAAATACCAAGGATAAGAGCATAAACAGTTTCTATCTGAACTTTTCACAAAAATGAGATTCTGATATGAAAATCCACCTAAGACTGTCATCGGTGATATTAATGCTGACATTGTATAACGCTTGACAGAAGAAGTCAGAATTAACATCATTGATGACAGGTATCCCAGATGGGTTCTTACATCACAAAGAAGTTTTTGTGAAAATTGCATATAGAGGGTATTGAATATAAGCCCTCGATATACATATCATTTACGTATGTAGGTACACATACATATGTACATCACAGAGACCGAGAACAAACAGAATTGTCGAAACTAAATGTCGTTCTCGTAGTTTTGTTCCCGAGAATGCTTAAAACCCCAAACCGAAATGGGAATAAAACTGTCGAGAACGTTCTCAACAGGAAGTATATAAGAACAAAGCCATTGGAAATGTTCCCAAACGAAATGCGAACAATACTTTCGGGTACATTTTTAAGAGAACAGAAAGGGAACATAAGTTTCCGGAACGTACTGGCAAAGAACAAAACGGGAACAAAAGTTTTCGAAACTTTCTCTCGAAGAACAATTTGTGAACTAAAGCCTGGGGAACATTCTGACAGAGAACGAAACGGGAACAAACCTTCTCTGAACTATTCGCGAAGTTTGAAATGTTTACATATTAAAATTAATCAAAAAAGAACTGAGAGATATCTATGCAAATTAAGAAAGACTTAAGACACGAACTTTTCTTGCACAGAAAATGAAAAACAGTTGCATAAATGGACAGGTCACCCTAGATTCAGCTTTCCACTGGCTAACAATCGTGGTTCTCACTGAAACGAATTTTCATCCCAACAAGCAAACGCTCCTCTCATTCTTAACGTTAAGTTCTTAAAACTTTTGTTCTAGCTCCCCAGACTTTTGTTTTAATATAATTCTCATTGAAAGAGTTCTCAATATTCTCGTTCTCATTGGAAATGTTCTCGAAAATTTCGATCTCATTCGTTTCTTCTTGAAAATCTGTTATAATTTTGTGCCCGTTCAAACTTCTCTCAATACTTTGTTCCCGTTTGGTTCTTTTGCGGGACCGTTCTTGACATTACATTTTGTTCTCGTGCAGAACCAAACCAAATCCCGTTCCGATTCTCGGTTCCTGGTATATCATCTCTCGCAATTCTTTAAAATCAAAACATAGTACCTTTGGATCTGTAAAGATCACAAAACAAGCGTTGCTTTATTACCTTCCTTTTATTAGCTCGGGATGTAACTATGTAATATTGGTGCGCCTAAAAGATGCAGCGATTTCTATTCTCAAGTTACATACCTGATGACAGTAGGAATGGCAATTATAATAGGGAGGTTTTAGTTTTTTAAACTATAATTTTATTTAATTCTAGTATGTATTAAACTATACGAATTAAATTTTATCATCAATTAATACTCACGTTATCATAAAATGAAGAATGTGTTTCAAAATAATAAGTTTCATCCGCTATTTCAAGGGAGCCTATTTCTCCAAGACACTTAGCAGCCTGTAGACGTAAATTTGTATTTTCAGCATTGCAGGCCACTTCAAGAAGTCGGCGAATCAGATCAGAGAAGAGCATACCTTCGACGCACAGTTCTGTTTTATGTTTGGCTATCTACAAAAGTACTTAAATACATTATTGTCATTCATCAGCGTTCTGTAATCTTACATATTGCTGAATTGTGCCCAAAGTGCCATTGCCGCATTTTTGGATTAGCATGGATGATTCCAGAATTTTAAACAGATCTTTAATATTGGTGGGTGATGCTGGTTGGGTTTTTAGAATGTCACAATATTCAATTAAATTTTGTGTATCAGGAAGTTGATCGAAAACCATTGCTTTTTCACCAAATTCATTAATCAGCCGATGTAGCAATTTCATTGATAACTTTGTCTTTTCATAATCACCGTTTTTATGGGTGATGGCTAATAGGCACTTTGTAATTTCATTCAAATGAACACTCATTACATTTCTACCTTCGTCAACAGATAGAAACGGCTTCCCAAAGAGGTGGTGCAAATAAAAAAGGCCCGCTTTGTGTAATTCCGTATATTCAACTGAAAAAGCTGACTAGTTTGTATCCTTTTCAAATATAAAATTATTAGTATACCTTTTTGAAGAAACTGAGTGATAAATAATATCGCATCACGAACAAAGTACTCCCCAATAATTTTATTTCTTTTAGAAGTCATGCGTGTTGTTGGAATGGAGTCAATAGCCGCATCAACTGCTATGCAATATTTATAAAAATGTAACAGTTTCTCATTTGAAAATATACAAGAATATAAATCTGCTTTAATAGCACCAAGTACTTTTAAAAACTTAAGCGGGTATTTGCAAAGGGGAGCGAATAACGCTTTCGCATCGTACTCGCCACCAACGTTCTGACCAACCTAAAACGAAAGGAAGTTTGAAGTTTGTACTTTGGAGTAGAAATTAGTATGAATCATTTTGAATGGAACAAATACAAACGTATCGCATACAAATTTCTAATGGAATATATCTTTGCGTACAGCGATTTTCTTTTATTGTTGAAATTTTTCCGGTTAGTTATTCAAAAATATACAGGAATTTTCCCAAGAATTGAAACACTAATTCGCAAACAAACAAAACTTAAGCTTCCCTAGTTTAAAGCTTACAAGTACTTTATTTAAAAAAAAGTTAAGTTATTGACACCCATATTATGAGTCCACACTATACACGATAAACGCCATATTACGAATCGATGTCTGTCGTATGAAATCCGATAAAACAACTGCTGTTTTTTGTTAATTCACAATAAAAATTAAACAAAAACCCACTATGTAGCAAGCCAGAGGTGGCGCATTCAGAGTGCCGCTACTTTGTTCTTGGAGAATTCAACAGAATCAGCTGTTCTATGACGTCATCACAGACTAAGTTTGTTCTAGTACGGATAGTTGATAATAATAAACCTTTTTTACCATAAACAAATGCAGAAATAACCAGCTAAAATTTCGAGTCACTAATTTCTACTAGCTTAGTGTTTCTTTATCCTTCTTTATTCGCTCTTTCTGGGCGTAATATTTTATTCTTCGCCAATATATTATTTTCTGTTCAGAAAGTAGATGAACACAACTACGATTTATTTACAATTGGCATTGTGATCGTGACGTCTTCACCCGCAGGAATGCGCGGTCTTGTATTCTATCATTCTTGAACAAAAACCAAAGTCGATCACAATAGTACATCTGCCGGGTGTATCGAAACGATAATATGAAAACTAATTTCATACGCTACGTTTGCAGGCGTTTATCGTCTATCATATGGAAATTCGAAAAGGGGGGCTGGCTGAATATTTAGTGCTTACCGTAATTTATTATAAAAGATATGCATAAAAGTATAGTAATTTGATGTTTTTTGTTAATACTTACCAAATATAAGCTAAGGCATTGTTGTAGGGATTGGTAACTTAGGTTATACCACGATGATGTGCTATGTAAACTTGGAAATTCAAAAGGTGCTGATGGCGGTCCATCTACCTTTAGAAGACTGTAGCAACAGTATATTGTTTCCCAATTAATATTGGAATCAATTCCTCTTGATTGGTGCAAATCTATCCCCAGTTGATTCGCGTTTTCGTTTAATATACTGAGGTACTTTTTGTACTTTTCGGTTTGTGCCTCCGGACACATTGCTCTCTGTGGTAACAAAAACGCTTGCAATATGGGAAAAGCACACTGTAATAAAAATTTGATTATATCATAGAAATATATGTATACTTGCCTGTTTATCAGGTTATCTGGTTATGTGGTTATATTTTGTATTCAGTTTACAACAATAACATACACTACAGAATAATAATTTTTAACCAGATAACGTGATAACCAGGCAAGTGTGAACAACCCAATAGAAAACGCATATAGACATACACCAGGGCGGGTCAAATTTGTTATATGCTTTCTTTCGGGGACTGACGTATTCTCCTGGAAATTCTGAACAAAAAGGTTCATGAAAGGACAGCTATCAAATGGATTTCGAGCCTCCTTACTTTTAAAATCAGTTATTAATCCCTAACCAATTAATTTTTTTATATTTGGTAAATTTTTTCTAAGAAAATGTATGCGCGTTGTTTTGCCTTAACTTAAGTAATGCTGAAGATATGAGCGGTGCAGTAAATGTCTATTTTCGAAAATTAACTATATACATAAATACATTTTTGAGCAGTGCCGGAAATTCTACTTAGTAAGCTATGCGGTTTTCTAAAGTTCACTTCCTGAGTAATATGATATGCAAACAGTTTTAAAATATAAATTTTATAATATATTTTTAGGGATTGGTAACGTATTGCGAAACTGCCCAAAAACTATCTTTGCTTAGATAACGTGACCAGAATTTTTTAGCATTCCAGGAGGACAAATTCCCCACATTGAAAATAGAAAAAGTTTTTTAATATATATTTTAACACATAAATAACGAATAGGTTAACATTGTTAAAAAAAAAGCAAAAACAATTCAAAGTTGCTATAACCACAAGTCAATCAAGTTAATGGTACACTGCGTTGTATAATTATAAAACAGAAACATATTACCGTTGATTTTTGGCAATTTTTTTTTTTTTTGTTGACAGTGTTGTTCATTTTCTTCCACACAAAAACATTTCGAACATACTTTGTATGGAAGAAAATGAGTGACACTAAAAAAAATTCCAAAAATCAACGTTATTTTACTTATATATAGTTATGTGTATTAACTTTTGTTCTTATTTTTCATTTCAATTATGATTTCAACTAGTGGTTCAAAAGAATTTGATTAACATTATATTAATATAAAACTATTTATTTTTCAGGTTTTGCTTTGTGGAATTTAATTATTTTCCAGCGGGTTTTTATAAAAGTCTGGATTTTTTACTCGAAAATATGTAGTTGGCAGCACTGGCTCCATTATACTTCTTAAAATAGTGGTTAATTTTAAAGTAAAGCGTAAAATTTGTTCTTATTTGTGTTAAACAATTGCGAAAAACAAACAAAATTTCGAAAAAATTTAACAGTTTTCTTAAATAGGGCTAACATTGAGATTAGGCATTAAATGAAAAATATTTTACCACTATGTTGGGCATTAAACACTACCCGTGTCATCGTATTTGTTTCCACATGGCATTATTAAAATGGCATACATTTTTTTGTCATTTCGTTGCCTGGCGGAAATTCGGTTTAATAATTTATGAAGTTTCTGTTGAATGATCATATCACTGTTTTAGTATAGCAAAACTTTATCTCACACTTTTTTTCAAATAACTCTAGAGATTGAAACCGTTATGAACAATGTATGTACACTCAGGGCTGCCAACTATCCTCAGCTATGAGGTGCCATATTGGCGATAAAAAGTGCCAAATAGAAAAATAAAAGTGCCAAAAACGGTGCCATCCTTTTTAGCCCGAAGCATTTAGCAATAAAATAAGAACTACATTTCTAAAACAAAAGTGCAATGCCAAAATAAGATAAACCAGTTGAATATTCTTTAGAAATTAGAAACGTTTAGTTGAGAAAAAAAAGTACACGCAAAGGATTTCACAAAAATGTATTGAAATATTACTGCTGTGTTGATGTATTACTGTTGTGCCAAATTGAAAATTTAAGTGCCATTTGATGTAAAACAGGGCCAAAAATGGCACGGTTTGAGCCAAGTTGGCAGCCCTGTGTACACTGGCAATCAAAAGTGAGTGCAGGATGTTTTTTGTTTAATATTTGCGTGTTTTTCAAGTTAAATTTTTTTTGTAGTTTTTTTTGTAATTTTTTTATAAAAATATGGTTCATGCTTTAATTAAAACCACATAAGTCAAACTTTCAAACTTTATACAGAAAAATTCAACGAATTTTCATCTTAATTTTGACCTTTTTAATGTGAGTTTTAGGAAAAATTTTGAGTACGTAGATAAATCGGTTTTTTAATTCTAGTGAAACAAGATAAAGTTTTAAGCAGTTGCAAATCGCGTTGATTTTTAATAATTTTTTGCGGTTTTATACATATCAAGTGTAATTTGTAAAACATAGAGTTAATTTTTTAATTTTATTTGCAAACGGTCATGCGCATTTTATTCTACAAAAAATTCCCTTTTATATGGTAAAAAATTAAAAAAGGCGTCAGCAATAAAAAATCATTAAAAATCAACGCGATTTTTTAGCCGCTTAAAGCTTGCACTTGTTTTATTACAATTAAAAACCGATATATCTTCGTACTCAAGATTTTTCCAAATATTCAGATTAAACTGGTCAAAACTTATACGAAAATTCGTTGACTTTTTCTGTATAAAGTTTGAAAGTTTGACTTGTATGGTTTTGATTAAAGCAAGCACCATTTTTTTATAAAAAAATAACAAAAAAATTGTAACTTGAAAAACATTGCAAATAGTAAACAAAGAATACCATGCGCTCACTTTTAATTGCCAGTGTAAGTAACAGAGCTGGGTAATTTTGATCCTTAAATTATATACGATTACGATTACTTTTGTTGTAATGGTAAATGTTACCATTATGCTTATAATATTTGTAATCTTAAAAATCCATCTTAGCCACCTTACAACATGTTTTATTAGTTAAAAAGCTCCATACACAAATGTTGCCACTGATAAAACTTATACATATCTAGCAAACAAAATGCCCTATGGTAGGCAATAATTTTCGCCTGTGCAGACGCGTCGTTAGCTAGTCTTTCAGTGTTGTAAAGGGTAAAATATTATTACACTGTTCAACTTTCACAGGCGATTGATTAAATCAAAAGTTTACATCATTTAACTGAAAGTTGAACAATGTAAACGCCTTTTAAATACAATGATTGTGTACGATTAGGAAATGACAATATTCTGAACGATTTTTTTTTAATTTCATCACTGCTATAAAACTTGAAAAGGAGGACATTCCTCAAAAGGAGGACAATCCTCCTCAAAGGAGGACGGTTGGTCAGCTTAGCTTAGACCACCTATACCAAAATCGGTATGTATGTATCTTAAACATACTAATGATTTACCTAAGTTGTCATTAAAAAAGTTCCTATAAATATATGGCTTTGGTTAAAAACGACATCTGAATTTAATAAATTTTCTCGAGGTCCTACCATAAACATATGTACATATGTATATCGTTGGCTTAGTGTGCAAAAAATATAAACACGTCTGTCTGTGTACACGATAACTCGGGCAAAAGTTGAGGTATCTCAACGAAATTTGGTATGTAGGTTGCCCTTTATCGCAGGTAGGTTGGTATTGAAAACGGGCGAAATCGGACTTTAACCACGCCCACTTCCCATATAAAGGTATTTTCGAAAAATCCAAAAAGTAGAATTTCGGTAAAAAATATGAAATTTTTGGAAAATGGGCGTGACCGCGCCCACTTATGATGAAATGCTGTATCTTATCTAATCATTACCAAACTCGGTACAAGCCTTGCTTAGGGTCCAGCTAAGAAATCTGTTGAAAATCTTTGAAATCCGGCAATGACCACGCGCATCTACCATATAACGGTAATTTACAGAAATACGAAAACTGCGATAAATGAATAACTACTAAAGCTAATTCACTTAAAATCGATGATTGCGATAACCACTTAGCAGAAAATTGGATTATTATAAATTTTTTGATAACACTGGTCGACGGCCAAAATTTACCAGAGACGCCGTTATGAAATTCTTATGTAAAATCACCCCCTGATTCCGAAAATCAAGGTTATTTTTAATTTTATGGTACCGTTTTTGAGATATTTGCAATTTACCGTTTTTGCAAAAAAAAAAAAAAATTGGGTCCACTTAATCATATATATCTCAAGAACGAATAAAGCAATTCCAAAACGGTTTGAAGCTTTTAAAAGGTAATAAAATTTTCTATAAAAAAAATCTGCAAAAAAATAAAAGGTTTTCGAGATCCTTCCCCGCAAAGTACAATTTTTTTTATATTTTTACAAAAAAAATTTAAAAAATCGGTAATGATTGTTCGTTATCTTTGAATCTACAGGGCCTAGCCTACCTTTTAAAAGCTTCAAACCGTTTTGGAATTGCTTAATTCGTTCTTGAGATATATATGATAAAGTGGACCCAAAACGGTAAATTGCAAATATCTCAAAAACGGTACCATAGAATTAAAAATAACCTTGATTTTCGGAATCAGGGGGTGATTTTACATAAGAATTTCATAACGGCGTTTCTGGTAAAGAGAAAAAGTTGAAATTTGTGGTCCAGTGTAATGGGCGTGGCGCCGCCCACTTATGACCACAAATGTGTAACTCGGTAACCGATTTATTAATTTCTACCAAACTCTGTGCATTTATTCAAATCGGACCAAAATTACACCCGCTTCCCGTATAACGATAAATTTCAGAAATACGAAAACTCGGATATTTCAGAAACTAAAGACGCCAACTTACTATAATGTTATACTTCAAACTTATACTTCTTTACTTATTTTTAATTATTTTCCTTTATAAATGGTATATAAATTTACGACCCAAAATGGGTTTTTTGGTTAACAGCAATGAAATAAGACTGTATTAGGTTATTATTCATTTTAAAACAATAAAATATATTTAAAATAAACAACTAAATCTTTTTACAATAAAAAAAATAATGAAAAACAGGTTGATAGAAAATTTGGTAAGTCCACATTAAAAGAACAAATTATCAAAAAGGAAATGTCCCAAAACAGCCTATAAGTCTGCAACAGCTTTATTTTGATTTTTTTGGCCGATCAGT